GAAACACACCAACAGACCTAGAGTGGAGTGGTTTTTAGGACCCTTGACCAGGGTATTGTTTATTAGGGGTTCTCAACATTAGTATACGGCAAGTGTAATAGCAATCCGGGCAAAACAAAGGACTAACAAAGCAAGGGACAGCAGGAATCTGGGCAAAGGAAAGGATAACAGCAAAAAGGCACAGCATGGGTAGAGTCCAGGGACACAGGGCAGCAATCCAGACACAGCAAAGGGGTAACAAGTAACAGGGTACAACCAAAGAGGGTCACAACTCACACTTAAGGCATCAGGTCACTCCGCAGAAGAGGGTTTCACATGGGATAGTAAGGCAGGAGATGGTCTGTAGACATGGTTTGTGCAGCCTCTTCAGTGTTCGAGCAGGATAACAAGTTCACAGATACTAAGGCACTACAAGTCCCAGTAGTCCCCAATCACGGAACACACATCCAGAGCTAGATGTCCCAGCCATCCTCATTTTTTTTTTAGTCTCTTTCCACTGAGACCTTCCAGCCATAAGTCTCCAGTGTCTATCCCTGAAGTAAAAAGAACCTCTGGCTACTCTGAGCACAAGGCTGTTATATTGTACCTGGAGTATTAGCATTTTGATACCTGAGGCCAAATTGCTGATGACAGTCTAATTTTGTCCTGGTTTAAGATGCAACAAATCCTGTGCTTCCTACTGAGAGGGTCAGCTGACTAACATGAGGCCTTTTGAACAAATGTGTTTAGAGGCTTTTTTTAACTTATTAAATGTTTATTTGTATATTTGTTGAAAAATTCAAACAACGGTTTGTAAGTAGACACACGTATAGGTGGCATGTTCATACAGCATAGCAGAAATTGTATAACATAATAAAGAATACCACTTGACAAACAAAGGGACACAAACATCCACAAGGGGAAAAAGGTGTAAGGAGGGGGGGAAGCAGAGCCCAACCAGGGTCTAGAAAAAAATCACGTTCCGCAGAAGGTAGACAAATCCAAGTTTATATCAACGGGATCCATAGTGAGAAATAGTATAGAACAGTAGGTTAATTACAAGTATTTAGTCGGATGGTACATTCATGCCCAGAGGCTGTTAATTTCCAAACACATCTAATATTTCAAAGCTGATCTATATTACAACCACTAAGACACTAATGGGGCTCTAGAAATGTTCCGGTGTGGTTTAGCCATTTAATTTATAACAAGAACACAGTTTGAAACAATACTAAATACAATAAAACTACTATTTTTTTTTTTTTTTAATAACAAACTTCATTCTGTTTTCGCGGTTATGCCCCAAAGGGGTACAACCTTATGTTACCATGGCATGTAGTACAGACAATATGAGGTTACTCACAGCAACCCCAATAATTACACCAGAAATTTCTAACTTTTCAACTACCGTATATACTCGAGTATAAGCCGAGATTTTCAGCCCATTTTTTTGGGTGAAAAGTGCCCCCCTCGGCTTATACTCGAGTCAGCGCCAGCGCGTCTTCTTACTTACCTCGCCGAGCGTCGCGTCACTGCTGCTCGGTGTGCGGCGCTCCGAGATTTCCCATGCTGGTTGCCACATTTACTATAATCAATATATGCCATATTTATTACTTCTTATATACTAATGTACTATTTCACCAATGTACTAATGTATTAACTGCTCCTAGGGAGATTCCACTCAAGGCACGAGCTAATTCGCCCTTGAACATTAAAGCACCTCCAGTACCCTTAAGTCGTTTGCCAGTTCAGCTTTGAGATACCAGTCCAAATATTGAAAGGGTTGCATTATGCAAGCTAAATCCTTTTCATCGAAAGTCACCGCCAGAAACTATTTCCATCGCTTGAAACATTTTTTAATTAGTGTATCAACGTGCGTTTTGGCTTCCAGTTTTTCCCTAAGGAATAGGATTTTCAGTTCCGTGGTGACACTTGAGATTGGTGGGGTGGAAGATGTATTCCAAGATCGCATTAAGGCCGTGACACACTGCACGCGAAGCCGTGCAGAGCGAAGCAAAGCTCTCCGGCACGGAGCTTCGCGTGCAGTGTGTGAGCTGAGTGCAGTCAGATGATTGACTGCGCCTTCAGCCAATCGGCTCGTCTGTAACAACCGGCCAGACGTCGCATCCCGTCGTGCCGGTTTATACGCGCGAGCCGATTGGCTGAAGTTGAAATTGTTCATCTCGGCACGCTCAGCTCTGCGAGCTCTCGCAAGCTGAGGTGCCGAGAAGAAAATGACATGACACACTGCTCGCAAAGGCAGCGCGCCACCGCTCCGCGCTGCTTCGCCTGCAGTGTGTCACGGCCTTGATACATCGTCGGCAGCCAGCAGGCAGATGTGCAGCCAGTCCCTGCCCCTGTGAGTCAAGCAGTGAGATTCCACCGCGGAGTATTCAGGGGCACTGAATAGGTACAGCAATGGGTCTAATAAAACCACTAGTTTTGATTAACTTAACACATCCCAGACAGTTAATTATTGCAAGCTCCATTTTCAATAATGCTGGATTGTGTAATCTTGTGCAATAGATGCACTCCTAAAACAGACGTTCTGCAGAGATATGGTGGGAGTGGGTTGCTCTAGAAGGAAAGTTTGGATCTGAATAAAAATCCAAACTTTCAGATCCAAATATTCCTGCTAGATTCTAGTCTTACCTGTAAAATTCATTTCTTGGAGTACATCTCAGGACACAGGGTGTTAATCCTGGAACCCATGGGTTTTGCAGCTACCTTTAGGAGACTGGAAAGTAGCAAATCAATGCCACAAGGACAGCACTGTATAACCCCCTTCCACTCCTAGACTGTCCCAGTTTTGCAGCAAGCAGTACAGGAGTGTATCACAGAATACAGAGGAAAGGGTGATGTACTTTGTTCTGTCACAGACAGACGGAGAAAGGTCAGACGGCTCTAAGGGGGAGGTATGGGAGCCTACTTATGACTCCTGTGGACTGAGGTTAAAAACAGATTAGACCATGGTGCTAATTTTAAAGATCCAGCTATACCAATAGCCTAAAGCTGCAACAAAAAGTCACAATGCCCCATAGTTATAAATCAGGAAATGGAACAAAATGCACAGGGCACCTGGCTGGGACAAAAGCCCTTGGCTTACCTTACTTGGACATGCCCTGTCACATCTTTGCCCTCCTGGTGGATCTTCAGGGACAAAGTTTAACAGATGGACCAAGGTCTTGGACCTGTTAAGCTACTTCACACGCTGCAATAAGTGCCAATGTGAGCACCCCATGCAGAATCCAGTGCTCTAAGAACATTAAAGGCTGGTCCCATATCTTCTTTCCCGTGGAGCCCGGATACAGGCTGCCAAGGTTCAGCCGAGAAAAAAATTGCCTGGATAGCTGCCACAGTGGCTGTAAGTAGATTAAGGAAACTTGCTGGAAGAGATTGAAGTAGGAAAAGATGTCACATTCTCAGAGCAGAACATATCCATGGTGCTTTGGGCTGTGGGGGACAATTTATTTATGCTCCATGGATCAAGAGGACCCCAGAGATCTATTTCCCAATTATGTGGGTATACATGGGAAGCTGGCACTCTGTTTTCCTTTACCCCAGTATCCTGTCCTGGACCCGTTAATCAAGTCAATTTGTCCATTTGTCTGATTGTGTTAATGGGATTAACTTGTCACTAGATGTAGTGGAGTATATTACCATATCATAGACACTCAGGAGATAATCCCATCATATGTGTCTCCTCTCTCCCTATTCTTTCATTAAGACAACGGGAAGGGGATGTCTGTTTGCATTCTGTTAATGTTTGATTGTGTTATGTTTTTAGACTTCCAGAACTATATATATACTGAGCCGGTTTTCAATAAAGTCAGTTCTTGGTTTTCACTTCAACATTGATGTTCTCATGTTTGAGGAGTTTAGTTTTCTGTCCTAATATATCGGCTCTGTCCAATAATTAGGCAGGTTTGGGCTGAGGAATTTGGGTTCCAGCGGAGAGGAAGCTGATTTCTGACAGAGGTACCCAGTCGGGGTACCAGGCGGTCTGTCACACTCAGTACAGAGGCTTCTATCCATAACTGGTTGAGAGTATATATTTACTATCTCCAGTTTGTGAATGAATGGGAAGCCCCTGTACTTAGTGATTTCTATTCATTCAGAACAGGGGCTGCAAACAGGATTGAGGACTCTGCATCCTCAATTTATTTTACTATTTTTGTAGGGAAATATGAGGGGTCTGTTTAGACAACTGATACTTTACCAAACAACCCCCCCATAAAAAATAAAGATGAAAACACAACCCAACAACGTGCAACAGTGTGCGCCGTTTTGTGGTGTACACCATGCACATGCGGTGCACGCCTGCAAGTGTTTACCATATTGTGGTGTACACCATGCACATGTGGTGCATGCCTGCATCATTTTATCAAAACACTAACACTGCACAAATTATTTTTTACATAAGTTGCTTTTTTACAGTTGCCGGTCCCTTCATTTTTTTTACCGTTTTTGTTCCAAAAATGCACAATTTAAAATGTACAAATATGTGTTTTTATTAACTCAATACAGTTATAATCTTTTAGATTTGGTCAGAAAAGTTTTTTATTATTGATTTGATAAACATTTGCACAATTATCAGAGGACCTACAAAATTAGTAGCACAATCTTTATATTCTACCTTGCCTATGCTTTCAGAAAATATATGGGTTGGGGGTCTTTTACAAACTCTAAAAGCTACAGTTGAAAATGAAAAAAGATGCAATTGGTGTGGCCAGCTGAGGGTAAAAGTGTTCCACAGGGTTTGGCAGCGAAAGGGTTAACCACTAAAAATGACAACAACATATCCAAAAATTAATGGACCTCCCATTATCTGTAAATTTTCAATTTAGTGTTTAGACTGATTTTTGCGCGATTTGCCATTTAAAAAAGTATCAAGCCCAGGAAAATATTTCTTCAAAGAACCAAAAACCCTTGTTTCAATGTAAGTATCACTATACACCTGTATAATGAACAAGTTAAAAAAATAAATAATATACACCTTCCATTTCCCTTAATTGGCATACCTGTTTTACTTCAGCTTGAAGATGACGAAGCTGAACACACTGTTCTAAGTGTTTTCGGTGCTGTTCCGCTGACAGGTCCAAATCTTGTTGTTTTTCATTGAGGAACTCTAGCAAATCTTGCACTCTTGTTGACATATCCACATCTCTGTCACAGAGAAGATCAACTCCTGGTAAAAATAAATACATAATATTATAAGATAGATATAGATAGATAGATAGACTACATGCATACACACACACACCCGGAAGCTTATAAAAACATCTCTTGATCAGCATCTACATTTAAAACCAGTATTTTTGTCTTACCTTGGAGGCACATTACAGGACACACGGAGTTCATTCTTAGACCACTGGGTTATGTAGCTACCTTAAGGTGATTGGACACTGGCAAATCAAATCTACAGGACAGTCCTGCATAACGTCTCCCACTTCCAGCCTGCTTTAGTTTTGTAGCAAGCAGTACACAGTTGATGACTGAGTACAGAGGGGAGGGTTCAGGGTTCTGGGTTGTACTCCGAGAAACCATTTTTACATGCAAGACCAAAAAAATAGCCCAAAAAGCACTAACACTTCTACTGGAGTCTGTTTTGGATACACAGGAACAGTGGAGTTAATTTCCTGCTGTACTAATGTTTTGGAAAAACAGGTGTGAATCTCATGCAGACATGGTGTTTTGTAACCACAGAAGTGCAGTCTCTTAAAGTTCTAGTGTTTTGGAAACACAGGAACACAGAAGGAGTCTCTTACAGCACTGGGGTTTTGAAAACACAACGCAACACAGTGCTGGGGTTTTTTGGATACACAGAAACAAGAGACTCTGGGAGCACTGAAAGACAGGAGAGTATGAAAATTGAGAGCTTAGTAAGAGTACTTTGGACACACAGCTGCATGAATAATGGTAGCTCTCTAGGAGTATGTAAGGTCCATGGATGCAGGTAGGGCTGCAACAACTAATCGAGAGAGGGGGGAGGGAGAGAGAGAGGGAGAGAAAGAGGGGTGAGAGAAAGAGAGGGGGGGAGGGAGGTAGAGTGGAGAGAGGGAGAGAGAGAGAGGGAGGGAGAGAGAGGGAGGGAGCGAGAGGGGGAGGGGGAGAGAGGGGGGGGATAGAGAGGGAGAGGGGAGTGTTTTTCATGCAACCAATTGGTTAGTTGACAAAATAATCGTGCAACTAATTGCTTATGAAGATAATCGTTAGCTGCAGTCTAAAGGTGCCCACAAACCTTGCGATAATCGTGCAATAATCGCGGGAAATCCCGCGATCGCACAATTATAGTAAGGTGTGTGGAAGCCGTGCGACCTCTACTGCTGTAAGGTCGCACGACTTTTATCTTAGGAACATGTTCGAAAACCCGCCGAGAATCGTACCATGTTCGTAAGATAAAAGCCGGATGGGCCGGTGTGCGCAAGCGCACACTGGCCGTTCGGCATTGCGGTCATCGGAAGCCCGCGACCATGGCAAGTACGATCTGCCTGTCAAAGATAGGCAGATCGTACTTTTTTAATTACCTTACAACCATTGCAAGACGAGAGACTTGCGATGGTTGTAAGGTGTGTGCCCAGCCTTAGGTGCAGGTATGCTGAAAACTCTCTAGGAGTACACAGTGATGAGAGGATCCCAACAGACATGGGGAATAGGAAGAGTGAATACTATATGGGCCACTAGGAACTTGGAACAGGTACTATTCTCAGAAACACTGGCAGTCACTAGGAACATGGAACAGTAACGTCTCTCACTAACACAGAGCACAGGGGATTACTAGGAACAGAACTTCTTAAACACAGATTGGGACATTACTAGTAGCAGGGGGTTGCTGCTCGTAACACATGCATTTCTCAGGCAAGGATACAAGAGTGATACAAGTGTATGTCCACATTTGCAGCCAAATTAAATTGACACCTACTGTGTGTTGCATATTTTCTTTCACAGTGCATAACTTAAAAAATAATAATTTAAAAAAAATTGCTGCTTTAATTTCTAAGTGCATTTTACTTGCTTAAAACCCCTACCTAGCTTCCCCTATGTAATGTTAAGAAGGGTGCTGTAGAATATTTTTGGAATTTTAGAAAGTTATGTTTAATCATGTCTGTACCTTGGTGGTAGATTTAATTATTAGTTGTAAACTAGATTTGAACAATTTCAATCCTATCCAAGGGATAAAGACTTATATTGTATCTAATGAGCTTAGTCTGTCCCTCAGTTTGACCCACTACTTTCACTTTCAAATTCAATTTGTTTTTGCATGCACACTGTGACGACATGGTGATCAGTTTATAAGTTAAATGTGTATTGGTGTTGAGTTATGTTTGAGTGCGTTATGCTGTGTGACCTGGTTATGGAAAGACTAATCAGCACCATCCCTCGTTATCTCCCATTGTTCTCTGAGGGAGCTCAGAACAATGACATTCTAGCCAGGCTTCTGCTATGGCTGTCTGGAGCTCGTTAGCAGGTGGACACCTGTGGTGTTGAGCAGACCGATTGTCTGGGAGGGGAGGGTGGATGTGATGGGATTATATTCTGATTTCATCACTTGCTGTATAAAAGTTTGTGCAGTTGCTCAATAAAGCAGAGTTTGTTTCACCTACACTCAAGCCTTGGCTAGTGACTGGGGAAACTGGGAGCTAAGGATCTTCAGGTTGCAAGATCTCCTCAGCAAGGAAGAAGACAGCGGCGGACATACTCCTCCTGATTACGGGGGTTCGTCACACACATTACTTCAAGAGATATATTCAAAACAACATAAATCCCTGGGGTCTGAGAACTCAGATTTTTTTCCCCAAAAAATATCCTCACAAATTTAAAACTGGGCAGCACATTTAGGCATTGGTGTTGTAAAATCAGTTTTACATGAATGAGGATGGACCTCTAGGTGACTCAATAGGTTAATCTTGAAGTTATTAGAATATATTCTTACACAAAATGTATTATGTTCAATGGTACCCTTTACCTCCAGGTGTGTTGTATGCTAACTTGTACCTGGATAGATGATGTATTCTTTATATACCTGTGCCACATAGTCAATGACACAGGTACATTGATGACATTTTCGGCATTGGCAGAGGTACCCATAATGAGCTGTAGTCATGTATGCATATTTTGAAAAAGAATACCTATAACTTGCAGTTAATATGTGAACCACAAAAAATATTTGTGGATGTGGAAATATTTAGGAGCGTAGCTACAACATAAGGAAAACCCACATTGTACTATATTACACGCTAGTAATTTGCACCCTTGTTCTTTGGTGCAATATATTCTGTACAGCCAATACCTTGAAAAAACATGAAACTGTTCTAATAAACAAAATTAAATTTTTGACGCTGAAGCTGATTGCTACTATAAACTCAAGCCAAAATTCTAGCTAACAGTTAAACAAACTCACCAAAAGGCAAAAAAATTTACTCAAGAACTGAGTTGTTGTATTATACAAAGGTGACAGCCTCAAACAATATGGTTAAAATTATTACAAGCTATACCCAGCAAATGCACTTGATTCCGAATAAATATCAGCAATTATTAACCTCAGATGAGATCTTATTGACCTACGTGCATGACACTCCTGAACTGGTATATTGAAGATCAGTCTTTATTAAGGATAAGATGGTGAGATCTGCCCGCAGCTCTGGTGAGATCTGCACGCAGCCCTGTACATTATAATTACTGTTTAATCATGGAATGATGGGATCTCTAGTCCTATACTGCTGGTTGCCATTCTCTATTACTGTATAATCAATGATTTTATACAGCAATAGAGAAAGGCAATCGGCTATAGAGGACAACATATCTCAGCAAGCCATGATTGCGGGTTGCCATTTTCCATTGCTTAATAATCATGGATTGAGTTATAGTTCTTTATAATTATATTAAAAAAAAAAAACTGCCCTAAAACCATAAGGCTGTCTTGTTTTAGAAAACATGTCACATGTCCCTTTAAGAAAAAGCAGATTAGTTGGAGGAAGTCAGTCGTAGAATATGAGTCTTTGCAGATGTCTGCAAATACCTCTACCAACGTGGAATTCCATTCTCACTGGCGTTTCCAGTGGCTCTGCACTCTCAAATGTCAAGAGGACAAGTAATTATTTTTTTCTTCTTTAGTAGAGGCTGCAAACTTCCTTGAATCCTTATAGATTTGGCTAACCGAGAACAGCACACTCAATCAGTAGGATGTGTCTTTCACGCCCTCACCTGCTAAACCAATTTACTTCCAACCGAGAACTGCTTCCAACATGAACCTATTTCCTTCAATCTCTGAAGCTTATTTTTTTTGCATGGTTTTGTTTTCTCCTCTAGCATACTTTTCACAAGAGGTGTACTCTAGGAGAACCATTTTCTTAAAATTCATCTACAGATCTCAATGTGTCTGATCCCACTTATGCATCACTGCAGCTATATGTGCCTTCCACACCTCGTTTTTCAAGGAAAGATCGTCTGACTGGTTCTATCTGTTTGGTATGAATGACCCGAATGGTGTCTACTGGTTTTTTCGGACGCAATAGGCCTCATTCACACGAGTATGCGGCCATACACCGCCCTACGCTCACCCCAAGTGCAGGTCTGTACGGGTGCAGGTGCCCCGGCTCGGACGCTGACAGGATCCATCCTGTCAGCGTACGAGTACGGACACCCGCACCTGCACTTGGGGTGAGCATATGTGACTTGGGGTGAGCATATGGCCGCATACTCCCATAGAGAAGGACAGGGGCTGCGTACTAATCACATGCAGCACCTGTCCTTCCCTTCATTTAGCCAAACTAAAAGAGAATATAGCATTATTGCAGGAAACCCACCTTACGCAGAATGACCTCTTTCGCCTTCGAAAAGTTTGGGTGGGAGAATTACTTGGCTCCCCCTCTAATGGTAGGCATGCAAGGGTTGCCATGCTATTGAAAAAAAAACTTACCGTTTCAACCACTGGATTCTTCTTGTGGTTCGAAAAGGCTGTAGGCTTAAGATTCGGCTACTGCTCTATGACACGGAATATGTAATTTATAATATATGTGCTCCAAATTCCGCTACGGATACCTATTTCCAGGAGCTTGCCCAACTGATAGCCAAGGATGGAGATGCTAAGGTCATAGTGGGAGAGGATAAGAATATCATACTCTGTTTTAAAAGATAGGTGCTCTATCTAGACAACGGGTTTCAAGGTCATCATCGTCACATTCGGTC